ATGGCTGTTGCTAGGTTCACACCCATATTGCCCACTAGGCAGCCACATCTCTTTGAAGGTTTTTTGTTGATTTTATTGTTGATGAAAATCAATTTGCCATGAAATCAGAAAGAATTTACTAAAGTAGTCATCACAAAATGCAGAAGCAATATTCTAAAATAGAAACTGCATGTTATTACTGCATCAAAGACAGAAAAGCTTGCCTTGAGAAGTATTACATATTTTTCAAATTAAAGTCCACCAAACAGCACTGTACTTTTAACACAGAATCATGAAACTGCTTTAATACCCCATTTCGTAATTTCAGCCAAGCTTATTAACAGAAATGCCAAAATACCTGGCATTACAACAAAATTTATTCACAACATGTCCATTTGTGATTTCCATTTAAGGAAAATAGGTTAGTCTGAGAAATTTGCTTTCAAGCTTTCCTATTTTCTTTACTCTTGTCTGGGTGTCTTCAGCTGTTGTCTGATTTTCTGTAACTCCTCTAGCCCTTTCTCTTAGAGATAATATGTTCGTTTGCTGCCGTTTTCAAAAATAAGCTTGTAGAACCACTGCTTCCTCTGTTCTCCTTCACCAGTCTTTGCCATCAACACCACCAAAAATAGCAACACTCTATCTGAAGCTACAGTAAGTTACCCTGAAGATTGCTCAGAAGCAACTGCCAGTGAAACCGGCAGCTGTGTGGTTGTTTAGAACCAGCTGGCCATATGGTATATGAAGACTTAGGCTTTAAAGAACTTTCTAAATTGCTAGTTAATTTCCTGAGGTATTTTGAAATATTGCATACGTACTGTATATTTTCCTTTCTAGATTTCTCTAAGAATACTTTTTCTTCTCACAATTTAAAATGTAGCTTCTGTGAAAGCATTCCTGGCTGGTCTTAAGTAGGATGTGAGTTCATATGTTGTGGGATCTGACCAATACAGGAAAGAAATCATGACTGTATGGTAGGATTTTGCTACTGGTGCTACCTTGAGTATTACTATATTTTACTTTGTTTTGTTTTCTTTTTCTGCTTACAGATTTATTGGCTAGGTATAACTAAACAGCCTCCGGCTGAGGCAGGAGGATCACTTGAATCCAGGAGTTCAGGACCAGCCTGGGCAACAAAATGAGACTCCATCTCTACAAAAAATAAAATAAAATTAGCCAGGTGTGGTGGCATTCACCTGCAGTCCCAGATGCTTGGGAGGCTGAGGTGGAAATATCACTCGAGCCCTGAGCCTGGCGGTGGGTCAAAGTTGCAGTGAGCTGTGATTGCACCACAATAGTACCACTGCACTCCAGCCTGGGCAACAGAAGGAGACACTGTCAAAAAAAAAAAAAGAGAGAGAGAAAAGAAAAAGAAAAAGGAAAAAAGACATACATCGTGTAGTACCTTAGCAGCATACTCAACATAGAAAAGCAATCTGCATTATCATGTCTTAGAAAGGTGAAGCAAACATGTTATTAAACAGTATATTCTGCAAAGTCACCTAACTGTGAAACCACAGAGGAGAGTGCTGGCCCAGACCTTGTAAAGCACACAAGGAGCCCCTCATGTGGCTTCGTTTATTTAGTTTTTCCGTTGGATAAAAAGATTGGCAGTTGCATGTTGAACTTCTTAATACTTGCTGATCTAAATTTTAAACATGGCTAATCTTTGTAAAGTCAGGCAAAGTTGAGAAGAGGGTTGTGAGAGGCCTGACTAAAGTTTGGTCAAGGAGAGTCCTTGTCAACATACATACCCATACATATTTGTGTGTATGTATGTGTGTGTCCTTGGACATATTACATTTCAATGCCTGTTACATCCACATTGACATGTTGAGTAGGTAAATAAATAAATTTAGAATCTAGCACTTAAGGGGGAGACTGGAGGCTGGACATAAATTTGAGGTTCAGAGCACATTAGTGCTATAAGAACATGGAGGAAACAAAGAAATCTGAAGACTAAGTCTGGGCTTGGAGGTCTGGAACAGGAGGATCCAGTCACAGGGCTGAGGAGGGGAATGAAGTCGAGCCAGTGATCGCAAATAACTTTTCGGGAGTTTTACTATAAAGAAATCAGATGGTAGCCAAAGGGCAATATGTAGAGTTATTAAATGAATATATGGCTATAGTTGTTATAATAGTTTTAGATATAGCTATGGTTATACATAAAGTACAGATTCTCCCTCAGGGCTTTCACACTTGGCATTCTCTCTCCTTTTTGATATTTCTGTTTGGCTCGTTCTCATCTTCCAGTGTTCTTTCTAACTCATCACTGTACCAAAATTTGCTCCCATCACAACTAACTTCTGTTCCCTCCTTCTGTTTCATTTAAATCCATAAAAGTTATCAAGTCTTTTTTTTTTTTTTTTTGAGACGGAGTCTTGCTCCGTCGCCCAGTCTGGAGTGCAGTGGCCGGATCTCAGCTCACTGTAAGCTCCACCTCCCGGGTTTAGGCCATTCTCCTGCCTCAGCCTCCCGAGTAGCTGGGACTACAGGCGCCCGCCACCTCGCCCGGCTAGATTTTTTGTATTTTTTAGTATTTTGTATTTCACCGTGTTAGCCAGGATGGTCTCGATCTCCTGACCTCGTGATCCGCCCGTCTCAGCCTCCCAAAGTGCTGGGATTACAGGCTTGAGTCACTGCACCCAGCCTCAATTCTTAAAAGTATAAAATTTATTCATGTATTTATTATCTGTCTTTCCCATTGGAATGTAAACTCTAAGAGAGTAAAACCTTGTATTCATTAATATAAACTAGAACTGGGAATTACACAAAATATGTTCAATAAATAATTAAAGCATGAATATATGCCAGTTTGTATGGTTGTGTGTATGCACACATACACATTTTTATTGCACAATCTCATGTGATTTATTTAATAATTAGAAAAAATATGTAAAATCTTCTTTCCTGTTCATGTCCTGATGCAAAAAGGCAAAATAACAGCATCCTAATCAATAATTTACCAATGATTTATTTTTTATTTTAATCAAGTGTTTACTAAGGTAAATTTTTCCTATCCATGCCTGTGATTTTATTTCAGCTAGGTGTCCAATACTTTAGAAAGTTAAGACCTTATCATTCAAAAGCAAGCAAGTGGAACAACAACAACAACAATAAAAAGCGAATGAAAAAAAGGTCTTATCTAGATTCTAAAAAATATTTTGCAAAGCAATATATTATTATTATTTAATATGTTTATTTTATTTAATTTGGTAAAAAGTGAAAACGCTCAAATCATAGTCAAACATGATGGATCATGCAAAGAGTATTAAGAAACTGAATTGTAAGTAACAGGTAATATGAGTAAATTAAACCTAATGGAATCTTAATAGAAGCAAATTTGTTTCCTATTGGATTTTCCAATACTTTTGCTGGTAGCTAACATGCTCATAGGGAAAAAGAAATCTAGTTTAAAGCTTTATGAACAGGAAAAAATGTACAAATATATGAGAATAGAAAATATGCATCCATCTGTTTTAAAAGATATAGAAATACCACATGGAGATTCTGCATGTGCAAAGCTAACTAGAACAGTTCTGCATCCTGGAGATAAACAGATACAGTAAAATGTGTTAAGTGATAAAAGAGGACTTAGGAGTTCAGGGAAGCCATGCTGGGGAGACAATGACAAATTTAAATCTTAAAGAATGTGTGCGACTATAAGAACGCACAATATGAAATTTATAATATAAGAGCATGAAGTATTTGGGAAATTCATAACAAAAACAATATTAAAGAATAGATGAAAGTACAGGCATAGATTATTACGTGTCATTTTCTCCTCCTATATAAAGAAAATCTAAACTTGTGGCAGAGACAAAAGCTTATCTCATGTCTAGATGCTGGTGCGCTCACCTCTTAAATACTTACAATATTTAAGTGTCGTCAGAGATATCTAGAGGCAGGAGGGTTGGCAAGAATGTAGTTGTTGCTGAAATTGTACACAGTATAGAGTAATCAAAAGTTATCCCAAAGAAAGGGCTAGTAAAAATCATTCCTTCTGTGACTTTCTACAGTTGACTATTGAACCATTCTGAGAAAGCGCCTAAATAGAGAGTTTTGCCCAGACTCCCAATGTAGACTTATTACAGTAAAGATACTTTATGTATGATATATTCACCAGTTCAGTGACATTTCACCCTATAAATTTCCTCATTTAATATGTCTCATTAACGCAGATACAGGACTCCTGGGCAATTTTCTAAGGATTCTTATAGTCAAAAATAAATATTTGAACATTTCATTCTCCGTAATAACATTACCAGGTCATAAGAGTGTGGCCTGGTCAAATGATATTACCAAACACATCCAGCCTTTCCCAGTGAATTCTCAAAGATCCTTTTGGAATAAATCTCTACAAATTGTCATTTCTCCCAAACACTGAATTCTAACACCGAGAAAATTGCTAACACTTTATAAAATAAGAAATAATGTAGTTCAGATGTGAAATAAATCATTTCAAACATCAAATTTGATATATCTCTTAGCTTATTGTTCTTTTGGGGGTCAGGTGAGTTGTTTAATATCATTGAAACATTTCAAGAAATAAGCAGGATTCTTTTAGATTTGCAGATAAGTATTTGAAATTGCTTCAGGTAAGATGATCCAAGTGAAATAGACCAGAGAGATTAAATGAGAGAATGATACAATGGATGTGATTAGGTGATATGATTGAAGAAAGAAAAAGGAACCAGCCGGGGAATTAAAGAAAATGAACACAGACATATAGAAACATCCTACAGAGGACACAGAAAAAGTGAAACGATTTGATAGCAACCTACACAAAGGACTAAAGAAAATGAAAATACAGAATATACTTCTGAAAAGAAAAAGAAGGGAGGCCAATAATTGATTTTTAGGAAGACAGCAGAGACAGCAGAAAGTGGCACAGGGTGATCCCAGGAGACGGAAATCACAGGAAATGGTGAAAGAGCAGTTCAGGCATGCTTGTAAATTTGGCCATCAGTGTTGTAGGTAACCTCCTGAATGTGTTAAATATCAGATTCAAAGTTCAGTACCTTGGCTTTATCTCTCATTGATCCTTTGCCCAGGATAGACATTTTAGCACCTGTTTCTTCCTGTAGCCTCTTCAAGGAGTTTCCTCTTGGTCCAAGCAATTTCCCCACAAAATTGAACTAGGAAACAAAATCAATAGAATGTCTGTTTTAAGGTACAATAAAGTGATTATTTGCACCAAGAATAATTGATGGGTTATAGGTTTTTCAAACTTTACCACTGAGAAGAAAGTCATGCCATAAATACACACACACACACCCCCCAAACCATTTCAGATATCTAATCTAACACTCATTTTAAAAGCTATATCTCTTCTTAAAACAATGCCTAAGTCAAAAGTATGTTGAAAATATCATTTACATATATAATCTAATGAATCATTTATTAAGGAAAGAAATTAAGGAGAATCATGCTGGTTTACAGAATTTCTAAAGGCTTCTTCTCTCAAATTATATTATTGAAATAAGAGATGATTTTAACATAAGTCTATAAACCTACAAAATTGTAAAAGTTTGCAATCAATATTTTAAAATTGATATTTAAATTGATATCTAAAATAAAATTTGATATTCAAGTTTGTTAGGCATTGTCTGGTGTCCATAACTTTCTATTACAACTTTCATAATCAGGAATCAAGGGACTCAATTATTCTTCAATCTTACATTGTCTCTATTAAAGAGTTGTTTTAGGATTAGTAAATAAAAGATGTGAGCACATAAAAGTTTAAAAACAGTACTTATAAAGCATATATACAAAACACTTTGTCTAAATGAAAAATTCTGGGGTTCCATACAATTTGCTTAATCATCTTGAAACATGAATAAGAGCAAGTGAACTAAGAGCAGTTATGAAAGCATTTATGTTAGCTACTAAAGGAACATTACCAAACTGAATGACCAAGGTAATAATTTGTGCTATAATTCGTTGAATAAATTAAAAAATACAAAGAACATAGAATGCACCAAAAACTATCTTGGGAACACAAAGAACAATGATAAGCATGACTAAGTAAAATTGCTTTTTATATCAGATTTTTCCCCCTCTCTCTCTCTCTCTTTTTCTTTCTTTCTTTTCTTTCTTTCTTTCCTTTCTTCCTTTCTTTCTTTCGCCATAATCCCTCAGTAAGAAATACACCACAGTTAATGTTATAAAACTCAGGGTTTTTTTTTCCCAAGTCCAGGATAAAAAGACAGATATCTGTTCTTACCACATTTATTCAATTTTGTCCTGGAGTATGGATTGTTGTATGTATAGGTAAATAGACATGGGATAGTATAATGCCCAAAAAGACTATACATAGGTGGTTGATTTATTTTCAGCAAAAGTGCCAAAGCAACCAAATTTGAAAAGTAAAGTGTTTTCAACAAATGGTACTGAAACAATTAAATATCTGTATGAAAAAGAAGGAAAACAAAAACACAACCTTTCACGACCTCTTTCACACTTAGGCAAATCTTATTTGAGATTGATCATAGAACTATATGTGACAACTAAAATTATAAAGATTCTAAGAAGAAAGCATTAGAAAAACCTTTGTGAACCTAGGCTAGGAAGAGATTACTTAACGAAGAAGCAAAGAACACTAAAAAAAAAAAATCCCTAATGACTAATGATGATGAGCTTTTTTTCATATGTTTGTTGGTCACATAAATGTCATCTTTTGAGAAGTGTCTGCTCATATACTTCACCCATTTTTTGATGATATTTCTTTTTTCTTGTAAATTTGTCTTTTATATTCCTTGTAGATTCTGGATATTAGAACTTTGTCAGACAGGTAGATTGCAAAAATGTTCTCTCGTTCTGTAGGTTGCCTGTTCACTCTGATGATAGTACCATCTTATGCCAGTTAGAATGGCAATTATTAAAAAGTCAGGAAACAACAGATGTTGGTGAGACTGTGAAGAATTAGGAAAGCTTTTACACTGTTGGTGGGAGTGTGAATTAGCTCAACCACTGTGGAAGACAGTGTGGTGATTCTGCAAGGATCTAGAACCAGATATACCACTTGACCCAGCAATCCCATTACTGGGTATACACTCAAAAGACTGCAAAGCATTCTACTATAAAGACACACGCACACATATGTTTATTGAAGCACTGTTTACAATAGAAAAGACTTGGAACCAACCCAAATGCCCATCAATGAGAGACTGGATAAAGAAAATATGGCAGCACATATACACCATGGAATGCTATACAGCCATAAAAAAGGATGAGTTCATGTCCTTTGCAGGGACATGGTTGAAGCTGGAAACCATCATTCTCAGCAAACTAACATAGGAACAGAAAACCAAACACTGCATGCTCTCACTCATAAGTGGGAGTTGAACAATGAGAACACGTGGACACAGGGAGGGGACCATCACATACCAGGGCCTTTGGGGGTAAGGGGAGGAATATCATTAGGAGAAATGCTTAATGGAGATGATGGGTTGATGGGTGCAGCAAACCACCATGGCATGTGTATACGTATACCTAGGTAACAAACCTGCAGATTCTGCACATGTATCCCAGAACTTAAAGTAAAAAAAAAAAAAAAAAAAAAAGAAAAAAAAAAAAGATGAGAAAAAAAATTCCTTCTGATGCAAACACTCATTTAAATATTGAATAGATAAGCCACAGGCTGAGAGAAAACACTCCTTACTTCTGAAAAATGATTAATACCTATAATCTATAAAGAACTCCATCAAATCAATGGTAAATCACACACACGTATACACATACCTCGGAAAGGCTAAAACTAAAAGAAAACTCATGGTATATGCTGAAGATGATGTGGAATTACTAGTGCAATTGCTGTTGGCAGTTTAAAATGATACAGCAGTATCATTTTAAGATTTGGCAGTTATTTATAAAGTTAAACATACAGTTCCACTATGATCCAGTAATTCAACTGCTAAGTATTTATCCAAGGGAATTAAAAACATATGTTCATAAAAACAACTTGCACGTGAATGTTCATGACATTTTATTCACAATCACCATTAAGCCAAATGTAAACAAGTGCTCGTCCTAGAAGAACGGATAAACAAGTTTATACATAAACAGAAAGGAACTAGCCACTGATTGACATAACAACCTGGGTGTATCTAACAGACATTTGAGAAGCCAGATATAAAAGAATACATCATGTTAGATTCCACTATTACAAAATTCTAGCAACAAAAATAATATATGGTGTTAGAGTTCATAAGAGTGGTTGTATGCTGGGAACAGAGCCTGGTGTTGAACTGGCTGGAAAGTGGCATGAAGGAAACATCTGGGGTGACAGAATTGCTCTATATTTGTTGGAGGTAGAGGTATACTTTTATTAAAATTTATCAAGCTGCACTCTTAGGAACTACTATTTCATTGTATGCAAATAGCATTTCAATTGAGAATGTGAAAAACAAAATGAAAGAATAAAAACTCATGTAAAAATATTTTTGAAATAACATCAGAGTTTCTGTTATTACATTTAGGTCTCATCCATTTTGGGTTAATTTTTGCATATGATATATGATAAAGGTCCAATTTCATTCTTTTGCATATAGAAATCCAGCTTTTTTTTTTAGCACAATTTATTGCAAAGATTGTCCTTTCCTCATTGTGTTCTATTGGTTCCCTTGTAAAAAAAAAATCAGTCCACTGTATATGTTTAGATTTATTTTTGAGAAAACATAGGTTCAAAACCTCTGAAGGTTGGCCTTGGTAAAGAATTTTTGGATGTCATACCAAAAGGTCAAGCCACAAAAGCAAAAACAAATAAACGGGACTACATTAAACTAAAAGGCCCCTTCACAGTAAAGGAAACAATCACCAAACTGAAACAACAGCCTCTGGGATTGGGAAAAAAAATATTTGCAAAGCACACATCTACTAAGGGGTTATTATTCAAAATTTATAATGAATTAAGACAATTCAATGGAAGAAAAACATTTAAAAATGGGCAAAAGATCTGAATAGACACTTAATAAAAGAAATCATAAAAATAAACAACAGGTATATGAAAAGATGCTCAACATCATTAATCAAGAAAATGCAAATCAAAACCACTATGAGATACCACTTCACACTTACCAGGATGGCTGTTTCAAAAAAGTCAAAAGATATCAAATTTTGACATGAGTGAGAAGAAAAGGGTAGACTGCCCATGGGAATGTAGATTGGTATATCCATTACAGAAAATTCTATGAAGGTTTCTAAATAAATTAAAAATAGAACTACTATATGACCCAACAACCCCTCTCCTGGGCATATAACCAAAGGAAATAAAAGTCACCTTGTGAGGATACCTGCACTTTAATGTTTATTGTAGCATTATTCATGATACTACAGATATGGAAACAATCTAAGCGTCCACTGACAGACAAATGGAAAAAGAAACAATATAGTGGAATATTATTCAGCCTGAAAAACAATGAGAACTTGCCATTTTTGCCACAATGTGGATGAGCTTGGAGGACAATATGTTAAGTGAAATAAGCCAGACACATAAAGAAAAATATGGATGATCTCATTTATATATGGAATCTGAAAAAAAATACTGAGAAAATGAAACCGTTTACCAGGGTTGGGGTGGAAATAAGGAGATGTAAGTAAGAGGATAAAATGTAGGAGATATGTAGGATGAACAAGTCTAGAGATGGAGTATACACTGGCAGTCCTCAACCTTTTTGGCACCAGGGACCAGTTGCATGGAAGACAATTTTTCCACTGGTGGGGGTGGAGGAAGGTGGGGGTGTTTTGAAATGGAACTGTCCACCCCAGATGATCTAGCATTAGATTCTCATAAGGAACACACAGGCTAGATCCCTTGCATGCGCAGTTCACAATAGGGTTCCACTTCTGTGAGAATCTAATGCCAGGGTTGATCTTACAGGAGGTGGAACTCAGGCGTTAATGCTGGCTTGCTAGCTGCTCACCTCCTGCTATGTGGCCTGGTTCCTAACAGGTCACAGACCAGTACAGGTCTGCAGCCCAGGGACTGGGGACCCCTGGTGTACACCATGTAGACTATAGGTAATAAAATTGTTCTGTATTTGGATTTCATCCTAAATAAGTAGATTTTGGCTGCACTTGCCAAAAAACTAAAAAAAAAAATGGGTAACTGTGAGATGATGGATATGTCAGTTTGCTT